TATGGTTTCTCAGTATGTTTGATTAGATAAATACTTTTGATTTTGTTGTGTTGCCTGAGATAGTTGTTTCCAGTTGTGAAATTTCCACTGCCTTTCTAAACAGTTAATCGGACTCCATGTTAAATATGCAGTGAACTTGTTTGAATTCCGCATGAATGATTATACAATTGTGTTTCTTGATAGCCTTTGTCGTGATTAGTTGTTTATTCAAATTTTTCAAGAGGTGGTTTGTAAGGATTAGATTTGTTTTTTACGAGTGTGACCATGGATTGATATCAGTTATGGAACCACTGAAAACCAGAGGGTACTGGACAGATGTTTCTTCTAAGTTTCGGACCTACCCCACTGTGTACCCACCGAGGTTTGTACCAAGTACCTTTCGATTACAAGGCAAGCTCGTACACCATTCAGCAACTGGGACCCGATTCAATGGCCAGCTCATGAATTCCAACTCCTAACTGACCATTTTGATTGACTTGAAATTCGAACTCTTTTGTCACGTGGTTTATTTTCTATTAGTTGGTAAATTTGATCTATAATAAGGTTTCCGTTAATCTCTGATTCATGTGAATACCAGGCTTCTAGAAATTTCCTCTACAGTGATTTTGGTGTTTTTTCTGTTCAGAACTTTTGCATTTTCCAAACAAATTGCTGTCCACAATTATCTACATGAGCCTATATAAAAGAATACATATCGTGGGTTTTCGCAGATAATTTCCTTTTTTGTATTCTGAGTTGAAGGGGACGCCCACAATGACCAATGTAGTGTTTATTGCAGTTTGTGCAGTTTATTTTGCAAACGGTATTGATTTTATTGTCTTCTTTTACCGTGGAATTCTTTGGTCTGTACAATATTGACTGAAGTGATTGTGTTGGCTTGTGTGCTATGTCGATTTCAAATGATTTTAATATTCCAACTGTTATTTCAGAGGGATTCTACATATTTATATGGTTGAATGAATTTGTTTGTGTTTTCTGAAGGTGGTTTTTTTCAACATAAAATAGATATTAGCTCTCTAAATATCATATTTAAAACAGTCTCGTTTGACAGACTATTAATTAATCGGAGCAGAATCGTCATGCGAATCACGAAAATTTTTCTTTATGATCACAGCATTTCTTTACCGTAGAGCATTAATGGGTGAATGTATTCTTCTTCATGTCAGTAAAATATCGAGGTCTTCCCTGAACTTGTAACTGTCCATCCTATTCTACTTCAGCAGTATTTCTCTCATTATTAAGTACTTGATTTAATCATGCCTAGTTCATACATTATTCACGTAAGTGTTAACTAAAAGCTGTAAAGAACTCCTTCAAACTGAATTGGTTTCACCTTACTCGAATAAAGTTGCTGTAACGGAATAAGTGTAAGGGAAATCCCACCTGAGCAATCCATGTAAAATCCAGAAACAAATCAAATCCCTGATAACCAACAATTGAATAACAATCCGATGCTGATTAATGACTGGCCCTATTCAGGTTAGTAGTTACCTGGGTTCTAGTGGGAATTCGTGAGCAGTGCGGTACGGCAGGTTGAAGGTATGAGGACAAATACTCATCGACGACATTTGCTAGTCATCGCGCAATATCGTGGATTGGCAGAAGTTGGAATTCACGGACCATTGGGTTGCCAGGTCCCAGTGTCTTAATGCTATAAGGGCTCACCTTGTAACCACAAGGTCCTGGGTTCGAACCCTGGATGCGTATCGCTGAAGAGTCACAAGCTACGACAAAACAGCTGTCCAGTACTTTCAGGTTTTTCCATTGTGCTCTTTAACCGATGTCAGTTCATGATGAAATCCTGAGTCCAATCAAATCCCTACGAACCAGCAATCGAATATCTTTGTAATTATAATCCTCTTTTATGCTATGCTACATACCATCTGTTGACTCGATCCTTGTTATTTATCTTTGTTCCTACTCAATCTCCAATTCCACAGCTTATCATTATGATTGTGTGATACATTGATGTGCTGTTTTGTTTGAGTGAATTTGTGGTCATTCTGACCTTGGGTCGTAAGCGGGAATTTTCGGTGTATGATTGTTGCTGACAGAATTTCGATGCCACCTTATTTGGAATGTTCTTCTTGATTCTCAGGTAATTCTTACAGCTGAATTTCGGTTAGCTAATTTTGTTCTAAACTACTTGTTTTGCACTTAGACAGTTACTTTGGCTGTACAGCTACCTGACGGTATTGATGAGGTAATTTTGAGTTTTTAATATTGTAACTGTTGAACAGAACCACAAATTTCATGGCAAATAACCATTTTTTTGCTGTCTTTGGGGCGTTTTGTAGTGTTTCAGAGGTGACTTAAGGAACGCTTGTTCAGCTATACAGTTTGCTGGGTTCTGCTCACAAATCATTTTCAGTTGTTACATTAACTTGCTGAAATGTAATAATTTCATGTTGTCATTTCCACTATTTTTAGTCAACAGGTATAGATATAAGTAGTTTTATGTAGGAAATGCCTCCTTAATGACAATAAAAACTCCCTACTACATCCATATACCGTGTGATCATAGTAGTTAATCTGTAATTACTGAATTGTTTTTGTTTTCCTTGCATCATCATCCTCACTATAGATCAGGTCAAATGTCTTTTGAAGCAATTCAGTTGAGTAGATCACCTCCAGTCATCGGCGTACTTTTTATTTAAGGAGAAATACATGTGAGTTGAAATAATTTTTCAAATTTATCAAACAGCTGTCAGCAGAAAGCTAAATCTCTTGCAATCTTTGCTTTTTACATTTTATACCTTTAACTAAGACCACCA